AACCAAGAATCGGCAGGATCAATTGTCCGTTTTCATAACATGTCAAAAGTGTTCATCTTCAGTCTGGCAAGAAAACCTCTCTCTCTCTCTCTCTCTCTATATATATATATATATATATATATGTATGTATATGTATATAATATATGTATATAGGAAGCTTTAAGGGAAGAGTTTCCCATTTTTCAAAAAAAAAAATGAGGACATCCTCCTAACCTTTAGATTTGACTTTAATGAAATCCTGTGGTTGAGATTCTGTGGTCTGTGATTTAATTTCAACCACATAATTTCATTAAAGTCAAGAGGGGTATCCCCATTTTGTTTGAAAAATGAAGATCCCTTTCCTTAAAGGGCCTGTATGTATATATATGTAACATTTATCTTTATAGATAATTTGTGACAAGGAGAATAAAATATATCTGGCTTTGAGCTTCCAATTTCCTTTATGTAAAGTTTGATGATGTAAATCCAAGTCTTTTGACTTGTGAATTGATGGAAACTAATGAAAGGAGATGGCATGGCTGTATCTATCTCTTGCTGTGGACCAGGGTTAGGGTGGGTGTTTATCTTAAGCACTAAGATATTAAGGAATCCTTTCTCTTTTGACCAAGTTCATATCAGTAGAGAAAAATCTATTGGTCCACATCTCACACAAATGGAATCCAATCACATTTACACGGGTTCATGCGAGTTTTTCTCGAGAGATAGACACATAGATGTATACAACTGTTACATAGAAGTTTCAAAATTTTCCTTTATTTTTTTCCTTTTCATTTTCACCGTCGTAGAATGCTTCAAGATTTATATGTGGTATATGTAAGTTCAGTTTACCCTGTTGAAGTGTTGGTGCATAATGCTTGTGCCATGAAATGAGAAAAACTATGAAGTTCATACAAAAGAAGAGTCAAATGAGATAAAAGTGAGTTTAAATTGATGATCCTGAACTTCTTCTGGCTGGCTGTTATATATTTGAACGAACTGTGTTCATATGCCGCCGCTGGGTCACCTCATCATAGGTCCCGGTTCCTGAAGTTGGCCAGAGTTCATCGCTTAGACCTGGCTCTCTCGTTCATGTTGGTGACTAATGGTGAAATATAGGACAATAATTTGTGTTGGCACTAAAATATTCCATGATTTATGTTAAAAGTTTGTTAAAAATGAATCAAGGGACCAGAATAGTCGTAGCTGTGTACAATGACAAAATGAACATGATAGTGTGAGTGGTAGTGACGAAAAGTTTGGCGTATTGTTTGTGGCTCCTCTTCGATTTGACAAACTATATTAGGTAAGTGTTAAAAACTTTTTAGTGTCTTGTAAACCTGAGGCAAGTGTTTTATGCTAATCAATATGAGAGGGAGGTGCAGGCCATGAGGTTTGAGCAACCAACCCCATAATTAGCCACTCTTGTCCATATTGTCTCGTATTGTCTTTAGAGATGGAAAAACGAATACAACCTATATCATCTTGGGGTGTGCTATCCACACACCTTTGATAATTTATGTCCGTTGATCTTCTTCAATTCATCCGATCCAAAGGTCGAAAATTAAGAAAGTGTGTGAGAAGTAAAATGGGGTGTGTGGATATCACACCCCTATCATCTTCTATTCAAGCCGGTCTGGCAGATCAATCACAAAATTCTGAGCCGGAAATTGCTCGGGCGACTGCAAATTTTCACCCAAGCATTTGAAGAGACCTGTCCATCGACAACGGTGATTCGCAAGAAATTGTAATTAAACTCATCATGCTAAATTCTTTCATTTCTGTTAGAAATACATGTCACATTTACAATCAGTTTAGACCACTTATCCATCACACATTAACTTCTTCATTTCTTCGTTTCAGTTGGTAGATTTTGGCACACACCAGAGAATTGTGTCCAATAGCGTATCTAACCTCTTTGCTAGTGACCTCTTTATATCTCAACGAAAAAAAAAAAAAAAAACCTTTATATAAAGGTCGTCCTATGGCAAAGAAGAGAACTATGAACTAATTAACATGATCTCCAATTTAAGAACCATATTATCATTAAATCTCCAAATATAGTGGAGCATATTTTTTTTTAATTGAGTATGTTTTATTTATCAATCATGATAGATCGAGAAATAATTATGGGATCAATCACACCATAATTAAACTTGGAGACCAAAATTTTAATATTTCATTAACTAGTTGTTTATTATGTACGTAGATATATCATGGCCACAAGTTGAGTATTCTTTGGAGAAGTTAACCAAAGAAACCAAGGGCACACTTTTAAAATTCACTCATGGTGGAAGAATAATGGTAGTAAGTACCATATATTGGTGGGCATTGCAAAAGATATATTTGTTATTCAAGTTTTTACCGTGGCATCAGAGAGTACTTTTAGCATCGCGAGGAGAGTAATTTCGGATTTTAGGAGTTCTTTAGCTCCTAAACTGGTGAAGACATTAATTTGCATGCAAAATTAGTCAAAGGGTAATGATATAATTTCTTTAGAGGATAATGCACCTTCATTGGACCACCTAGAGTTCTACAAAAGCATTCAATCGGCTAAGTTTTTTATTTCTCTTCTTATTTGTTATAATCTTTTGAATTTTGTCATTTTGTAAGTTTATAAGTTGTGTATTTGTCTACATCTCTTTTTATCTCTATTAATCCACAACCACAACAAGCATCACCTACACAAGTTCCTAGCCAGCCTCCTCATGCATACTCTTCCTACCCGGCCACCTCAAGCTTCAAAAAAATGAACTTTAATAGTATGTTTACTTGAAATTGAACTTCACCTTTTCATTTGGGTTGTAGTACTAATGCTATAAGGCATTTACTTGACCTTTGCTTTTCATTTGGGTTGTACTAATGCCATAAGATATTTACTTGAACTCTGATTATTCATTTGGGTTGTACTATTATCATAACGCATTTTATTTGATGTTGTTGGATTGAAGATTAATTTCATAGTATGACACTAGCATGAACATCTTCTTGATTGAAAAAAAAAAAAAAAAGGATTTTATTTTCCATTACTACAAAAATTTGGATTGGACCTATTTTCATGAAAATAATTGTGACTGAAGCCCAAAACCAAATTGGGCTGTTTTCATTCCAAACCGAACCCATTACGTTTGGTATCAATTCGGTATAAACTCTCGTATCGAACCGAACCGTATCGAAATTTTTCTAAGTTTCAGTTTCGGTACTCCTATAACGAACCGTACCAAACTGACCCCAACCCTAGTTGCAAGGAGATACTCTTTAGATTTATTATCCAAAAACGAGATGCTTGTTTGCAATTTGCAAACCAACAGTTGGTGGAAGTATATCACCATATGAGAGAATATCTAGATCAAGTTGGAGGAGACAAAGAAAACTGACAGGTCAACTTGAGTTTGATTCCAAAGAAAAGTTGCATGCAAAAGGTTACAGCTTAGCAGTGACAAAGATCAAATCTAAATTTCGGTTTATTACTTAGCATTAAGCGGAAATGTGATATATTTGACATATTTGCAAGATATGCATGCCACATTGAACTGCCAAATCACCAGAAGAGGAATCCTTTGGTTCAACCATCCGGCGGATACTCGAAGATTTGGTTCTCAACTGCCTTTGAACGGGCTGAGGTACAATTTTAGATAGTTCTCAGCTCTATATGATGCTTAGATTTGCCCTCTGTGTTTTTTTTATTCCAACAATTTTCATTTACGAGATTCTCGTACTCAGATACTTAGGTAGATAAGAATAAGTTTATCTTAATAAACTACCGAGCTTTATTTTCTCAAGTTATGATATTGACACTACACATCAACCTAATCAAAATATCAAACCAATAAGAGCAATTTATGTGACACTGGGACATTAATATTGTGGTGTTATGTGGTCTTCCGTTACGTAGAGAAACATTTATACATCTATTCGTGTCATAGAAACTTTGGAGATTAGTATATGTTATTAGCGCTTCATATTGATAGTCGGACGGAAAATATGTAACAAAAATAATATGGTTTTTCAATCTTCTTGTTATTATTAGGAGAAATTAGGTTCTCATCCTTCCTTTTGCTACTCCATTAATTAAAATCCTATTCATTTTCAATTTTTTATCAAGGTCCTTGGGTATTAATAACATCATTAATTATTTTAATAATAATTTATTTTTTTATTTCTAAATAGATTCATTTAATGTTAAAAATGTTACAATTAGTATATTTATATTTATGACTAAATTTTTTTTATCATATATTTTTAGTTTTAGTTTGTACCCATTTTTAATTTGTACCAATTTTCCTTTCAGTTTTAATTTGTACCCATATATTAATTTCTTTTTTGCCCATATTTTTTAAAGTTTGTTTGTATTTGTACCCATATATTTTTTTTTATTTGTACTTTTTATTTTGCTAAATGTACCCATGCTAATTATATGTACTCATTCATGCAAAACTTTTTAATCTTAAAATATACTCATTCTTAAATATACCGATTTGTTATACATAAAATGTACAATTTTTTATATAAAATCTATTCAATTTTTTTCCAATCCATTTTTAAACTTATATGGGTACATTCTTTTTGCTTTGATTTTAAAATGTATCCATGTCAAGTTTAATCGAAGAAATTTATTAATGTTATTAAGCCTAATATCTTTTTCTTTTTTTTTTTTTTTTTTTTTTTTTGTGATTTTGAAGAATGTACCCATGTTTTGATACAATTAATTTTTTGGTTAATTTTGATGAAGGTACCCATGTTTATATACACACACTAGTATATTTATATTTTAATATTTTTAATCCCACAAATTATGGTTTTTTTTTAATTTAAAATCTCATTTATATAAACAACTAAAATTTCTAATTTTTAATTTAAAAAATATAGTAATGTATATAGAAATAAATTATCACATTAATTTCAAGGACCTTGATCAAAAATTAAAAACCAACAAAGTTTCAATCAAAGAATATTCATAACTAAGGACCGTATCCAAAGTCTCCCTTATTATTATTTTGGTTCAAGAATTTTGTCATGTGTTTATGGGTCTCAATTTTCAGGGTGCCAATGCAGTGGCAGATGCAAGAGAAAGTGGGGGTGAAGTTAGTGGGACATCGGGCTTGCCTTTCTCGGCAAAGGAGACGGTGAAGGAAGGGTTATATGAAGCGACACATCAAGGTCTAGCCATGACGAGTGACCCTGCAAAAGATGGACCTGTGAAAGCTACTGAGATGGCAGAAACTGTGGGAGACACAGCCAAGCTCACCATGGATGGTGCGTGGAAGGCAAGTAAGGAGACTGCCGAACAGATCAAAGACCGAGCGGGCATTAGGCAAAGATCGTCATCGTGATCCGGCCCGTCGAAGGGCCAATTGATGATCTGAGAAGCCATGGTGTAGGTTACAGGTATGAAGTATGAAAATTTAAGGGAGTTTATGGGTTGCTCTCTATGTATACGTATATCTGTTATGGTAGGTAGTGTACATAAGGTGGTGCACTTACAGTATTGTACTGCAATCTCAATTTTTTTTTTTAGGCATTTTTTTTTTCGTTTTTTTTTTTTTAAAACAATGAGCAATCTTATCCTCTAGATAGAGTTTGTAAATCTATAATATGTTTGGATTTATAGTTGTCCATTCTAATAAGTAGTGGACAAGTTATTTATTTTAGTTGACTAATTCTCTTACATTCTTCTAAATAAGAACAAAGGATAATATATACTTGATTCGGGGTTTACAAATTTTTTCTTTTGTAAACAATGTATCTTCACTATATTAATTTTCATTTTCAATCCCCTCCCTACGGGGATGGTTTAATTTTTTAGGCTTCATTTATTTGACTTTTCAAAAAATTCTTCCTTTAAATGATAAAAAATAAATAAACTGAGTATCAAAATAACATACTTGGGATAATTTTTATTTATTTATTTGATATATCTTCGTAGTTATAAATCTCTTATTCATATAATTTTCTTTTAAGAATCTTACATCACACGAGAGTTAAGAAAGGGTAACATATTGATTTTTACTCATGTGTCATGGATTCGAAATTTTTTTTTTCTCTCTAAATTATTGTGAAGATATCCAATACATATTAGTCTTTTTGTACGCGAGACCTGTTTTTCAATTGCGAGTAAGTTGATTTTAATCACACGCGCTAAATTAACTGTGAAACCAATTCTGGAGTTGAGCACAATATGCTTCAAACGTGATTCTGAAATTGCCCAACCGATGGCGTGGTAATTTTTTCCAACAACAAAATGGAAGACTGAAAAGTTAAAATCTAAAAGAAGTAAATAAATCAGTGATGAATGAAGCTTCAGTATCTATGTGGTGTTTTTCATTTAGATCTCCAAGTTGCTTGGGGACTTCCGGCTCTCTATGTTTCGTTAGGATGAAGTGCTTCGTAAATTGATCGATGCTCATGCATCACTTTTCTCCCTCGACCGCCCTCCCCCTCCTCCACATAATCACCACCTGTAGAAGCCTTGTGTAAATATGTTTGATCAAAGAAACCAGACGGTGGAACTATAAAATTGATAAATGTTACAAAGGAGAACTGGAATACAAAAAAATGGAGAAAAACTCTGATTCTTATATTAGAAAACTAGATTTTATAAATTTTAATAGCACAAACAAATGTACCAAATCAACAGGTGGAAATGTGGTGTATTGTTTTTCCTTAACTATTTAGAGGGCTTGGGTTTGAATTTTCATGTTATTGTGTGGAATTTTTATATTATTTTGTGGAAGCTTATGCATTTAATAAAAATAAACTTAAAAAAAATAATGGAGACGAGTTTCAAACCCATCCCCTAGGCTAATGTAAAGAAGCAATAATACTACTTGCGCTAAGACTCAAGTTTGCAATATTCTACACATACTGCTATATATACGTATATGCATGCAAAATTGTTAGAGGCCTGTGCAGCGACACCACTCGCAACCCCCTCAAAGCCGGCTCTGCGTAGGAATGTCATGATTTATGCATGTAGTTTGGCCTTTCTAGTAGCTTCAACTGCTTAAACAATCACATACCAGGGCAGATGTTTGCCCAAATCTTGGCTATAACCGGAAGCGGTGGATAAATTCTATTGTAACTTGTACCAATCGTATATAACAAAAAAGATAACAAGCGTCGAACATCGGCAACGCCGCAATGAGACATGATGTAAACATGCCCAAGACACTCAACAAACGCGTCCAAAGCTCAGGGGATGTGCCACTCTGTCATGTGGGTACTGTTTGACACACATATATATATATATGATCTCACCAGATATTGGGCACTTATAGATGAAGAATACTGCAAATAGATAATTTTTTTATTTTTTATTTTCTTTTCTGGGAGAATCAAATTTCACAGCGCGAATCATGGCGGTAACATTGAGAAAGAGAGCCCTTGCCAACATCTCACAATCTTTGTCTAAAGAGCATCCCCCTTGTATTTAATCCTGCTTATCCAGGGCTTGCTTCTGCACTTCTTATGAACGTGTCCAAGTAAATATTTATTTTCCCATTTTATTAGGATTTTTTTTAGATCTTTTTGGCATCTTAGGTTAATCCATCAATGATTCGATGTTAGTCGAACCCTAGACAACCCAGTGAATATTGGACTGAGAACATGCTAGCTAGCGAACAAGTTATAAGAGGAACAACCTTTTGTATCTTAATTCGCCTCTCCTTTTGGATATAAGTGTGCTAGAAAAGGCAAAAATATATTGAGGCACCTACTTTTTAGGATACGCGCTCGAGAAAATTTATGTATGCCTCCAGTTCTATTGTAATTAGAGTAGTATTATTATGCGAAACATCTAGAGAATAAAAATTAGGGAACTTTCATGAAAAGAGCTAAGTTTATTTTAATAAAAAACCGTGCTATAACTTTATTTAATTAAAAAGACTTAAATTTTAATGAAAAACCCTTAAATTTTAATAAAAATGACAAAAGAACTTAAATTTTAATGAAAATGACATAATTTTAATATTAAAAAAATTATAAAAAAAAAATTTATCCTCACACTATTTATGAAACTTCTACATTGTTTATGAAACTTACGACACTGTTTATGAAACTTACTTCACTGTTTATGAAAACTTACGACATTGTTTATGAAATTTAATACACTGTTTATGAAACTTAACAATATTACACTACTGTGTTGTGTTTGTAACCCGGCCCACTCTCTTTTCTTCCCCTTTTCTTTCTTCTTTTCCTTTTCCCCAATGAACACTCCAGAACTCTCTCTCTTTTCGAACTCTCTGCCTTCTCTCTAAACCACCATAGCCAAAAAGAACTCCAAGCACCATCACCACAAATTCCAATTTAATTGAGACCTCAAACAACCAAATACAAGACCTGCGCAAGCTGGGGATCCCTATGGTACCAATGCATATTAAATTCTGTAATGGGAAGTAGGATAATCCAAGCAAGGTTTCTCGGTGAGAGTTTCTCTAATGGAATCGAGCTACAACCTTTGAAAAGAGGAGGTAAAATTAGCTTGGTTTTGTTGTAATCTATTGCTAGTAATGTCTTCTAGCATCTTGGATCAAATCTGGGTTTGAAATCTGGGTCTGATGGAGTTTTGGGTGGGTGGGTAGGTGACGCTACACAAAGGATATTGAGAAGAAGAAGAAAACAAAAGTTGGTATTAGTTATGGCGACAACTAAAATAGACATAAATCACAAACCGATCATTTTTTCTTGTCTCTTCGCTTCCTCCTCCACCCTCTAACAAAGCCTGGCCAATCTTTTATTCAATCTTCTTCAACTCAACAAAATCTACCTTAGTTACATGCTGCTTTTATTTTACATGCACACACACTCTCTTTCTCACTAGATTGATTACTAGCTACCTGCTGCCACTGGAGTGCCTTTAATGGAGCTAGAATCATACCTAAGAGGACTGGAGTGCCTCCTTGGTCCAGCGGGGGAAGCAACGAATGACAGCAGCTTCTTTACAGACATCACTGATCGCGATTTTTACTTTTTATGTTTTATTTATTTATTTATTTTTTTTTTTTGTCCTTATCATTAAATAAAGTTAGTGTATGATTTTTCATTAAAATGCAAAGATTTGAAACCCTTTTCATTAGTTTTCTTTAAAAATTATCCTTATAGATGTGCTTATTTTTTATTTTTTCTCCCATGAAATAGGACCCAAGAAATAGGCCACCGACAGAGGCAGGCAGGCATGGAGCAGCGACCGAAGGAAGATAAAGTGATACCAGGATTGATGACTTGAGCGTTACAGGATTTGTAGCAGACACAGCAAGACAAGGCGCGGCAAAAACGACTGATGTCGCGGAGGACCTGGTTAACTTGGCAAGGGAGACAAATAATGTTGCATGGGGTTCTGCCAAGAACACTACCCGGAAGGTCACTGACACTTTGGTTGCTGAGGCTAATGAGAACGTCGTTGATACAGCTGAGTATAGAACTATTGAAGATCTGAGTACGTTCGCAGATCAGAATGACCACCATCAGAAGGATCACATTTGATCAGGCATGAGAATGTAACATGAGACTTGATAAATAGGGCTTTTAATTATTCCCAAACTTTGTTGACTCTGTGCAACTTCCTCACAAATCGAGGGGAAATCGTGTGTTGAATCTTATCTTTTCTTATTTATTAGTATAGAAAAGGTATAAAGAGAAGATGTAGATATAAATTGTAATTTTGGGTGCAGGTGTACATATATATATATATATGTATGTATGTAGGTATATATTAGACGTATGTTTAACATCCACTTGCGACTTAGGAAATATACTCGACCCATTTACAGTTTGAATCAGTAATTATGACAACCAACCTAACTCAAAATCAAAGTCAAAATCAATATCAATTTCAATTTCAGGTAGATTATTCTACTTACACAATTTGGACACATGAAGAATACAACTTCAATTGTAGAAATGTAAGCAAGCTATGTATTTCCTCATTAAAATGCGATCATGTAAAATATTGGGGTTATTTAAGTTATTAGGGTTATTGGGCAAGGTTTTTCTAAGAGGCGCTCTGACGTGTGATGTAATTCAAGTTTAATTTACGTGGAAGCATGTAGGTGGTTTTATGGTAGAGCTTCAATTTTTTCACGGTATTAGAGCTGGTAGTCCTACATGTGGTGCTCCACATCACCTCGGTGTGTTGTTCATGTGTTAGGCTTGAAAATTCACCACACGTGAGGGGCGTGTTAAGAATGAGTCTCACATTGATGAGAGGAGGGACTTTGCATGGGTTTATAAGAGATTGGGCTACTCCTTATATTGTCACTTGGTTTTACAGTTGAATCCCAACTTTCTTCACTATTGGGCTCAACATGTGAATATTATAAGTAAGACTTTATTTTTCATACGATTCTTTTTTTTTTTTTTTTTTTTTTTTTTGACAAATGATATGATTATCTATTGAATAGGTTTTACTTAAAAGAGAGATTCAACCACGAAACATCAAATACAAAGACGGATACTCTTGAACTATTAGTCATTGCTGTTCCGTACGATTCATTACTCTCTTTTTTTGTCAATACGATTCATTGCACTCAACTTTAATGAAATTATGTCTTGCTTATCATATTAAAGGCATGCCTACAATATAATCATAGCTTGTCTCCCCTCTCACTTTGCCATTGTTGCTAATTTCTATGTTTTCTTCTCCCACGTTCAGTAAGGTTCACACCGCGCATATGCTTGTTTTATCCTTCTCAAGAATGGTAGACTCATCCTTAGAAACTCTTATTTCGCAGGTATGCTTCTTTTCGGTATTTATTATATACGTAATTCTATTGGCACAGGCCATCAAGCATCTGATGCAAATATGTATGAAAATGTGAGAACCATATATACTTGATTGCTTAAAGTGATACATTGATTTTTGAATGTGATACTAATTTTACATCACATACTCTTTATTCGGATCCAGAAAGAAGCCATATCTACTTCACATTGTTCTCAGTCAAACACTAACGAAATGCGCATGGAGTGGTGTTTCCAACAGGAAAGATCAAACTTTTTTGTGGAAGAACTTGTATAAGGTCTCAGAAATATTTCGTGTAACTTCTAATTTTGTATGATATTAGTGTTGTGTGGTGTTTACTTCGTCAAACTATATATCTTAAATGATTTTGTTTTTCATTTATTTGTTTTATAGCAACATATGAGAAGGAGTTGAGATAACTCAAAGCTGAACGGAAGTCAAGTCGAAATGAGCAGTGTGGCAGGGTGAACTTGTTCATCTTTGAACCCTAAGAGTACAATTTGATGAGTTTTGGAATTTTCTTTTTTGTTTCTGTTTTTTTTCTCGATTGGGATTTTTGTATCAAATTCATAATTAGGCATGTGTATGATCTGTTTCTTGTAAGTTGTGGTTTTTTCTTCTTCGTTCGTTTTGACAGGAAATTTCTTTGCTCTGTTCTTCGTGGCACCATGGTAATGCACCAGACGATTTGATATGACTTTTATATCTGTTTTTCCATTAAATTGTCTGTCGTTTTTCTCATTCTTTCATTGAAATTTCGCACTAGCCGACAGAAATGATGAGAATGTATGCATTAGATGATTTCATTGCATGGACAGATGAGTATCAACAGAATCCTTTCTTTGGTTATTTTATCAGTTTTGAAACTGCATTAATAAACTCTTGTTGGTATTGCCTTCTTATTGTGGTTTTAGGAGCCGAGCCTCACACCCGCGTGCGCCACACGTTGAGCAGCCCACTTCCGTGGCCTAGCCTGCTCCCATCGAGCAGCCCATTCTCGTGGCCCAACTTGCTCTTGTGGTCCAGCATGCTCCCTCCGAGCAGCCCACTCTGGTGGCCCAGCCTGCTCCTGCCAAGCAACCTACTCTCATGGCCCAACCTGCTTCTGTGGCCCATCCTGCTCCCGTGGCATTCCAAGCAGCTCAAATTGGTCCAAGATTAGTTCGACCGTCCCGGTTTCAAATTTATGGGCCTACGATTGAACTGGGGGCATTTTCACCACATTTCTTCGCGAATTTGACATTTCCCAATTCAAATCTCGTGCCCGAAGCCTATTACACTTCCACTGCTCAAGGAGGCACATTCCTTCCAAGCTCTTTCAATCCAAATGGCGAACAATAGTTGTCTCGACAAGTCATATAGTTGACGAGCGCCCTTGCACAACAAACAACCTTGGTGAATCAACTCTTGCAATGCATCAAGATCTAACGTGCCCCGAACGAGGTGTCCCGAAGTAGGACAAAGGCAGACGAACCTCTCTACCAACGTCTCGGCAAGCAGCCCATCAACCAGCCACTATCCGAGCGTTCTGGCTGTTTACGTTCCCGCCTGGGTCCTTGGGATAGCGTATACTCTCGTCTTAGCACGCGAAGGAGCATGCATTCCCGATCAAGCCCACGAACGAGCATACGTTCACGGTTGAGGTCACACTCCGATTATCAACATGGAAACCTTCCAGGCAAAGTGTTCATTCACAACTAGGCTCACAAGGTGTATTCTCCACCTCACATCGGAATAGGCAGCATGACATACGGAGAGAAGCAGTCACTTAATCCAACTCAAATTCAACCGACAGCCTGCGAGCAGCCCGTTCGCCTGCCAAAAGCATGCCACATGCACTATAGCCGCGACATAGACGAGTCGAACATAGGGAAGAGCGGCCTAAACCCATAGGTCACGATCGAGGGCAGCCGAAAGTTCCACTACCCCAGCAAAGGTAAAGTTAAGAAAAAGTTAAGAGGCTCATAACTGAACAATTGCGCAATTTCCAACTTAACAAGGCTGATGACGATGCGCTTCGACGTGACATGAACAACATAAGCATGTCACCAGTCACGAATGAGATCGAGTGGACAAATCCACCTCGCGAGTTCACTATGCCTCACTTCACTCCGTACAAGGGAGACGAAGATCCGAATCGACCTCATTCATGGACAAAATTCCACCTACAAAACAAATAACAACTTAGGTCAAGGCCAAGAGCCTCACGCGCCCACGATGAAAATGGGGGGATTTGGCCGAAGAACCTCCGATGCCAAAGTTACAATTTAGAAAGAAAAAGTGTTTGGAGAATTTTGAGTATTTAGCAAGAGTGTAGTATATATAGGGCATGGGGAAGAAGATGGCCAGCCTTTTGTGGTGTTTTTTAGTGTATTTTGTAGTTTAATTAGCCATTAATAAATTAATTAGGTAATAACTCTATTAATTAGCTAATTAACATAATTTAAAAGGAATTTTTTGGGGGTTACCTTGTGGAGAAGATGGATGAAATAGGTTTTTGAATAAATATCTATTTTGGGCACTTTTGACTTGATTGTGGGATGATTGTCCACTGCTCGCGCGTGGGAATTCTGGTGCTCCTCAAGGGGTAATTTTGTCATTTCTGCCCAAAAATCCACGTGTCGTCTCTTGATTATTTTTTGGCTCCACAAATACCCTCACACCTATTAGGCTGCTCGCAGGAAATGGCAGTAGGTGTAGAGATCTCAAACTTTGATGCATATTCTCTCTTAGATTTGGAATTAGATTATTCTAGGAAAGGGAAATAAATCACCTTCAAAACCTATTTAAGCCTACCTTAAGTAGAGGATTAAATCAACTTCGCAGGGCAATTATTTATCCCTACAAGAAAGAGAGAAAGCTAGAGGATATTTGTTCCCCCTCCCCTAGCACTCTTCTTTGTTTGCCCATGCAAATAACCGTCTTCTGTTGATTTCTTTGTCTTCTTCGCGCCGCACCGATGTAAGAAAAACTTAATTCTCCTTGTCTTCTTCTTAGGAGGTGCTGCCACGGGGCAGCTGTCGGGGTAGTGTGGCACGTTGGCTGGCAGGGGCCAAGAGTCGGCTTGGCATGGGCCAAAGAGGTGGTGTGGTAGAGGCCATTGCTTGTGTTGCTCGGTTTGATTAAAGCTTAGGATTGGTTCGGCATGGGTCAAGGAAGTGGCGTGGCATGGGCAACGGTTTGGGCTACTTACCAAAAATGAGGAAACTGCTTGAGTTTGATTTCTCAACTGTTGTAGATGGAGCAGTTAAGGATGAAGCTGCCAAGATCAGAACTGTTGAATATTAAGTGTCGGATGAGCGAACTGTTAAGTGCAAAAGTGGTTGCTGCCCCCTGCCCATTTGCTGCCTAGTTGATCTTCAAGCATTCGATCTTTTGAGCTATGTGGCCTTCTCGCACTAGAGAGCTTACTCAGATGGTTGTCGGGGAATTAGTTTACCCTCTCGCACTGGAGAGCAATTAGTTTATCCTTTTGCACTAGAGAGTAAACCCATATAGGTGTCGGGGAATTGGTTTACCCTCTCGCGTTGAAGAGCAATTAGTTTATCCTTTCGCATTGGAGTGCAGATCCATATGGGTGTCGGGGAATTGGTTTACCCTTTCGCGCTGAAAAGCAATTAGTTTATCCTCTTGCACTATACAGTCATGTTTAGTGATCTGCTTAAGACTTCGAACTACTTGTGGACCCCGCGTAAAGATGTAAGCGCAATGAGCTACTCCCAGAATTATTGTGCCATAATTAGGTGTTTCATCGTGTGCCCTTTTGAGGCTTGGTTGACACGAGACATAGG